TGCACCACGTGGAGGTAAGTCTATCGCACACCCCATTTTTCTGTTTTTATAAGTTCTGAATTTTTTTCTTCAATTAAATCACATTGTAACATGGAAACTCGTCAATATAGCTTCACTATACTTATTCAATTTTTTCTCATCACTAGACGGCTATTGGCGATTAAGGATTCTGAACATTGATGATCAAATAAGACAGATGTCTTTAAAGGAAGTTTATGCATTTACTTAACATTTTCATAATTAAATTGCGGTCAGTCAGTCTATGTGGTTTCCCTTCATAGTTTAATTTTGAGTTAATGAAATAGAAGTGAATATTCCACAAATATTAAGGGAACTGGTTACGATTTAGAACTAATTTCTCAAACGTTCTAAAAATTGGGAATTATAAACGGTCTTCACTTACTAAAACAACAGTAAGGAAATTTCTTGTAAAAATTGTTTCTCTATTTTGCCAATAACCCTAAATAAATTATTTTATATTTTGGAAACGTTGGCTATTTCAACATTCACTAATATATACACACAGACTCGATCTATTTACACCCATTCATTTTAACAACATTAAAAGACTCAAGAAAACATTTTCATTTACTTTAGGTACCAATTTTCTAAAAAGATATAATCTTAAAGAAAAAAATTATGATTTAATATATCTTGAAAGGAATTAAGTTGCAAATCAAATATTTATAATTTAAATATAATATGATATATAATATTAATCATTATGCGTATTTATACATTTATCCAGTGCGAAATGTAAATTTTTCAATTTCCATTCACTTGGAAGCAGGCTCAACACTCACTATCGGTATGATTGACGTTGGTGCATCCACAACTTTTCAAATCATTCCACACTCATTTTGGATTCTACTGTTATCTTCATGAAAACCAGATTTTATTTGATCTTAATTAATTTGAAACGTTTTATGGTATAAGATTACTCTGGAAATAAGTTAAACGGAGTATGAATGACAAAATAAATGATGATCAGATTGAACTTTTGTCTACTTTAGCGCTAGTGGACGACACTAATCTTTAATGGCTCTTTCCGCTTTAGAATTCGTTCTTGACTTGAGATAATCAGCTTTCTAATGACTATGTTTGCATATATTTGACCACCTCTTGACTAACAAAAATGACTATCGCTTTCTTTAATCTCGACATTCTTTGTCTTCCAGAATCGAAGCTAGGCTTTCTCAAAAATTTGCAACACACTTAAACCGGGTAAGACTTAAAAAGCTCTCCTCTCGATCAAATTTTTCCCATTTCTTAGGTCAATAAAACCGAACTCACAAGAATTTGTGCAGAAAAGTGTAATTCCCTGATGGTAAAAGGTAGCTGAAACCCATGGGAAGAAAAATGTTATTATAGAGGGTTTTAAAGAAGTGACTAAAAGGTCAATTTCACGAAATTCGTCATTAACCCTTATGTAGACTAACAATATAAAATCGATAATAATAAGGAGGAGAGAGGAAGGAATCCCTTTTTGGAAACAAATTTGAGGACTAAGATATCTAATTTGAATCGATGTCTAAGCTTAGAGTCATCTTGATAACCCTGACACGGATTTGGAGGGGAGGGGGGGGGGAGAAGTGGAGTCGGAGGGTGTTGTTTAAGGGTATTACAGGCTCATTTTATTTTATCAGATTTGAGTGCCTAGGTCGTTGTAGTTTCCACTAAGAGAAGATGATAAAATATGAGTTAGGAATAAATTTTACTCCTCCAGAGCCCCGAGAGTTGTATTCTCCCGGAGTCAAATTCAAAATTGCATACACATGGACGTACGTTGAATGGGCGTTATCAACTATATTAGGACTCCTAATCGTTCATTTCCTATGGACTCTAGAGAAACTCGCAATTTTCACCTTACATGTCCTGGTTCGTTGGTTTACTACGCTCACACCTTGATAAGTAAGACCATAGATGGAGATGTCGCCGCTGTAGTTATTGACAAATCAGATAGCCAACTCTATGCCTATTTAAGTAAATTCAGTTAGTTAATAGAGCATCGTGTTGGAACTTAGGTCTCATCTTCCCCTTCTCCGTGAGTTTAAGTAGCTGCGACCATAGTAAGGGGCAATCGGGAGGCTTTAAAAGCAATGAACTGGAAATAGGCACACAAAACTCACAAGATTAAAGTGAATGAATTTTGAATATTGTATGATTTAAAGTGGGGTGCGCGATAGACTTACCTCCATGTGGTGCACCCTGGGTAACGTATTCGGATACGGCAAAAAAAAGTCTATTAACCAGCAGTTGATTTCTCACTTCAAATTACCATCACCCCACTATATGTCATATTTGACTACTTCCACAGTAATCACCTCACCTTTTTTCTACCTTTGTGTCTGTCTCTTTTACATCTTTGATACACTCTTCTCTTCCCTCCCCCCCCCCTCTCGAATTTTTTTCCCTTCGATGTTCCTCCCTCTCTGTGAAGCCTGAAGTCAACTAAAGGGCTAATGATAACTATCAAAACACCTGCTATTTGATATAAATGATTTAAAGTTTACCTGATAGACAACCAAGTTGTCACTAATTTAAAGGGAACTTATCATGAAGCCAGAAACTATGATCTTGGATACCGCATTAGTCTTCACGACTTTGTGATATTCAGATTTATCTAACCCAAAACTCAAGTGGATGTTTCACTACTACTCGTAGAGTAATCGCTCTAAGTTAATTCTGAAATCATTCCTTAACAGTTATAAGGAATGTGGTTTAGCATTTCATGCCTTACTTAATAATTGCAAAGAATTTCTTTACTTCAGATATTGCCCTTAAAGTTGACCGAACAAAACGTGCACAGTCGCGTACTGTAGTTCAAAACAATCTTGTTGTCTCTCTCTCTTTATTTTGTCGAAAAAGATCCCCTCTTTTAGGGCTCTTTAATTTTGCTTTCCTTTAAATACACGCAGTGAATTGTATAATAATATATTGGGTCTTCTTCTCCACGTCTGAGTCCAGTTAAAGTAGTTTCTCGCAAATTTATTGCAAAAGATAGTCAAACGGCCTTATTTTTGGTTTGGGGAGATAGTGAGCATTTTCCACCTTTATGGTTAATGATGGACTTTATTTTTTTATATCAAATGGCAGGCATTATGATAGAAATCATTAGACCTTCAGTTGACTTCATGCTTCACAGAGGGGAAGGAACATCAAAGTGAAAAAAGTCGAGAGGGGGAGGGGGGACAGAAGTGTTTCAAAGATGAAGGTTGAAAAGGTAGAAAAAGGTGAGGTGAGTTCTGGGGAAATGGTTGAATATGGTATACAGTGGGGTAATGCCAGTTTGAAGTCATAAGTCAACTGCCGGTTAATAGACTTTTTTGCCGTATGAGTGGGTTGCCCAGGGTGCACCGCGTGGAGGTAAGTCTATCGCAACAACTGCCGGTTAATAGACTTTTTTGCCGTATGAGTATACGGTGCCCAGGGTGCACCACGTGGAGGTAAGTCTACCGCACATGTCCAGGGTGCACCCCGTGAAGGTAAGTCTATCCCACACCCCTTGATGGACTAAGTAACGCATTTAACACCCGCCATTCCCCAGCAGTTGATGCGTGCGCCGAGTCACGACCAACTGGAGGCGCAGAACAGTGGGAAATGATGAGACACGTGAAACTGTGAATTGGGACATTACAGATTAGATTGGTTCGGCACGAGCCTCAAATTGACCAATTTGAGAGAGTAGCGCTTCCCTATTTTTTCCCCAACTTTGGAATGTACTCGCCACAAAAATGGTTTCGATACTGATTGTCTTACTCAAGTGACTACTTATTTACAACATCGTATAGTTATTAGTTAGATAACATTTATTATGAGAGAGGACACTTTTCATTCCAAATTTTTCCTTCATTTTCAGGCCAGTTGATTATGTGTAGGCATGAAGTATAAAAGGCTACATTTCTATAGCGCGTGATGTAAGTCTCACTCCCATTCTTGCAAGGAGACAATTTGCAATTTGCAGGAATTAATTTGCATTAGCAGAATGACATGAAAGAAGGTAGAACGTATGTTTATCGATATCCAAGCGACAGACACCACTCCTCATTGGTTGGGCTCCATCCGCATGCTTGAAATCCCTGCATTAATTCAGGAGATTGGATTGGGGGGACAGATTGCTTTTTGCTGGTTTGGGTGGATTGCTAGACAAGAAAGGAAGGCTACTTGGCCATTTAGCCTCATTCTAGATACTTGAATAACCCACTGTATTTGGTTTGCCAACATGAAACAAGCTGCAAGGAAAGTTGTTCAAGAGGTTTCGGTTTCGAATGCCTTCCGAAGTAGTCAAACGACGAGAGAAAGTTTGGGGAATATTGATGACCCCACTAATGGTCGACGTGTTCTCAACTTGGGTTATTTAGATATGCCCTATGGTCAGGGAGAATTAAATCGATTTGAGAAACTCCTTTTGCACTCAGCGGAATATGGAGATATGAACACAGCTCGCAGGCTGATCGAAAATGCTAAGCATTATAATGTAAATGTCAATTGTTTAGATGCTATGGGAAGAGGAGCTATTCGAATTGCAATAGAAACGGAACAAATTGAACTCCTCCAAATGCTTCTCACCTATGAGGCGATTGAACTGAGAGACAGTCTACTTCATGCAATATCGGAGGAGAATATTCAGGCTGTTGAACTCATCTTACAGGCACAAAGCGAACGCCAGCAAAGAAAGAATCTTAAGGTAAGGTAAAACATTTTAATTCTGCTAACTTTGAGCAGAAATGTAAATGAATGTATATTTTACTTGTAATTTAAGTGTATTAACTTCAAATTTCGAATTATTCCAGGCTCTATATATATATATATATATATATATATCTTGGATTGGCAACTAAGTCATTGCCGTTTTTGTTGACAGATTCACTCTATACTTTCTTTTGTTTTGTTAACGTGGCCAGAGCATCTAACCTATATTTTTTTCTTACCGTATGGGCTTCTAGGTTAAGTAGTAAAAAATTTTTTTTGTTTAGTTCTTTAGTTTTGTTTTTATCCCAATTTAAAAATGAAAGAACAGGACGTGCACTTCTGACACATTTTATTGTATTACTTCCGAAAAGGCAAGAACGCATCGCAAGCACAAAAGAAGTTATGTGGGGTATATGGAGATGAAGCCTTAAAAGAAAGGCAGTGTCGAAATTGGTTTGAAAGATTTCGTTCCGGTGATTTTTCACTGAAAAATTCACAACGATCTGGCCGCCCAGTCGAAGTGGATGAAACCCATATCAAGGCCATTATCGATTCAAATCGTCACAGCACAACACGAGATATTGCAGAGAAGCTCAATGTGTCGCATACATGCATTGAAAAAAATGAAAAACCCTTGGTTATGTCAAGAAACTTGATTTATGGATCCCTCACCAGTTAAAGGAAATTCATTTGACGCAACGGATTAGCATCTGTGATTCGCCGCTACTGAAACGCAATGAGAATGATCCATTTCTGAAGAACCTAGTTACTGGCGACGAAAAGTGGATAGTTTATAACAATGTTACTGGCAAGAGATCATGGGTGAAGCAAGATCAACCAGCCCAAACAGTATCAAAAGCAGAGATTCACCAAAAAAGATTATGCTGTCAGTGTGGTGGGATCACAAAGGAATTTTGTATTTTGAACTCATGCCGCAGAACCAAACGATAAATTCAAATGTGTATGTTGAAGAACTCGAAAAACTGAAGGATGCAATTGAAGATAAGCGGCCGGCATTATCAAATCGGAAGGGTGTTGTTTTCCATCATGATAACCCAAGGCCCCACACATCTTTGGTTACTCGGCAAAAATTATTGGAACTGGGTTGGGATGTTTTGTCACACCCACCATATAGCCCTGACCTTGCGCCTTCGGATTACCATTTGTTTCGTTCCATGCAAAACTCTTTAAATGGTAAAATTTTTAACAACGCGGATGATGTCGGATCACACCTAATTCAGTTTTTTAATAGCAAAGACCAGACATTTTACGAACGGAGAATTTTTACTCTGCCAGAACGATGGAAAAAGGTCATCGACAAGAACGTCCAATATCTAATTGAATAAAGTTATATTTTTAAACAAAAATTCCGAATTTGCCTTCTTATTTGAAATCGGCAATGACTTAGTTGCCAACCTAATACATATATATATATATATATATATGTGTGTGTGTGTGTGTGTGTGTGTGTGTGTATACATATACTTGTGCCAGTCAAACTTGTGTTAGTAGAGTAGTGTGAATCTACACGTTTTCGTGTAAAAAACTATCAACTCGAGATCCGTCAGCAGTCAACTAGAGATGACCTAATTTCAACAGCGCGTTTCCATGTTTTGACATTTGTAAATACCACATCAAATTTTCTTCACGTGCTGTGTTCCCTTACTACAAAATGCATCTAGCAATAGAATCACAAACTGCGGACTATAGTTTCGAGAGATAATTGTGTTTTTCTTTATCATATCAAAGGGATTTATCATTATATAAAGTAACCTCTAATTATCTTTCGCTTCCTTAAAACACCAAATAGAAGCCTAGTTTTAATTATGGTGTTGTCTGCCCTTTTCGTGCTATTTAATCTGGCCTTGCATTAACATATGAGCGCTTTAAGATTATCCTCGAGGTGTATAATGAAACCCTTCTTCGTAAGGGTTGACAAATATGCTCCGATAATTTTCTACTAGTGCTTAATGACTAGATTGGCTGTGACTCGCACAAGAAGGTTTTTAATTATTTTGCACAAAAACCTCAAAATTGTTTCTTCTGATAGGGTCTTTTAGGGCACGTCGAATCGTCAGTTTTCACTCCCGATATCACACCTCTAATTCTTGCGGCTCATCGCGACAACTACACCATTATAAAACTCCTTCTTGATCGTGGCAATAGGATCACCAAACCCCATGAGTTGAGGTGTGCATGCAACGCTTGCGTTCAAGCAAGTCGTGAAGATAGTCTTCAGCATTCAAAGCTGCGGATAAACGCTTACAAAGCTCTTGCAAGCCCGTGCTTCATCATTCTCTCCAGTTCTGACCCGATTCTAACAGCGTTTGAACTCAGTTGGGAGACTAAACGCTTAGGGAGATTGGAAAATGAATTCAAAGTATGTCACACGCGTTGCTTACCAAGTATATATTTTTTTTCCAGGAAGATTATGAGAAGCTTTCAAAGAACTGCGAAGCCTTTGCTACAGCTCTTCTGGCTCAAACCCGTGGTTCAACTGAGTTAGCAATTATACTGAATCATGATTCAGGAAATAGTAAAGGCGATGACACAATTCTCTATGGTGTACGCAGTGATTTAACGGGGCAAACTATGCAGCTCTCCAGATTACGGCTTGCTATTAAGTACAAGCAGAAGAGAGTAAGTTCACGCCATAAATCAGGTAGTGATTATTATCTAACCTATTCCAAATAACGGATTATTGCCCAGTCCATAAATGGAAATTTACGATCCCCGTTCCCTCTTTCTCTTCCTTCCCAAATTGACAGTCATCTGATTCATTGGTTTTTTTGAAAGGAAAGATGCCCAAAATGGATGAATGGTTTGTCCAATTTGAATTGATAAAATATCCGCCAACTATGAAGAGATTATGCCTGTACAGATATCGGCTTTGCATAACTATGCTCAGAAATATATATAAATACATAGAAAACACGCCTTAGACTTTATTTGATACGCAGTTGAGCTATAGGGAAGTAGATGCTTGTATGGTTGCCAATATTGCTACGATTTTGGTAATATGACCGTTGTAAAAAAGGGAAATGTCTAATGCAAAAATTTTTAGGCATGCTATTTCAATAGTCACATTTATTGACTGTAGAAAAAAAACAAGGTTTTTAGAGCGCTTGGATTCACTAATTGACTTCAGTTTCTAACAATATGGAAATATTTCTTAATTAAGAGCTTATACAATTAAGCCATTACCTAATTGATTTGCAGCAGGAAAGTGCTACCATTTGCCGAGTATTTTAATCCGTAAATACACCACTTAACATCAGTGACTATTAATTCTATTGAGGTAAGTTGATCGCTATGTCAAAAAAGGTGTGTAGCACTCGGTGACGAGAAAGAATTGTGATTTTATTGATGACTACATAGGACGATAGTGAGAAGACTAGGCCAAACGTGCCCTAATTCAAGTAAATTCTCTAAAATAATCAAAGTCTCCTGAGTCACTTGAGATCTAAATTATTGCCTATCTTGGGGATCATTCAATGGTAACTTGAACGAAAAATGGAAATTTATGAACTCTTTACTACTAGATCGTTTGATAAAAAAAACAATTGCTTAGTTTGGCTAAACAGTAATTATTTTGGCAAAAAAAGTAATATATATTTTATAAGCACTCCCTTTATTACTTGCAATTAAAATTCCACGAAAGGAAATGAAACAAAACCACTTCCTGCAGATGTAAGGTTATAAAATAAGTGAGTGAGAATAGAGCATGATTAAGATTATTTATTTATTTTAAATGACAGGTTTCATGTTAGTTATTATTGGCCATTTAGCTGACTTCGGGCTTTACGGAGGGGTGAGGAGGGGGGAGGGACCCAGAAGTCACTAAACACCGATAGCGGGGGGGGGGGGGGGGGGGGAGGGGGGAGAGTGAATCATAGATGCATACGAGGAGGATAGAAAGGAAGAGAAAAAGGTGAGGTACGTACTGTGGGAGTGATCTAATATGACATACACTGGGGTCATGGTAGTTTGAAGTGAGAAGTTAACTGCTGGTTTATTAACTTATTTTTCGTATGAGTATACATTGTCTAGGGCGCACCACATCGAGATAAGTTCATCGCACACCCTTGTTTAGGATTATTAAATGATTACTTTTCCTCACTGTGTAGTCAGGTGTGCCTTTCAATGATTTTTTCGTGTTCTTTTTCAGTTTGTAGCTCATCCGCACTGCCAACAACTGCTGGCTTCCCTGTGGTATGACGGGTTGCCTGGTTTTCGTCGTAAACCATTCATAGTCCAAGCTGGAATCATCTTTTTGATTTCATTATTTCACCCAATTCTCTGCATTTGTTGCCTTATTGCACCAGACTCCCGCTGGGGTGGAATGTTGAGGAAGCCATTTATCAAATTCATCTGTCAAAGCAGCGCTTACATCTCATTTCTGAGTAAGCCATCTAACTCCACTTTCCTTCAGTTGATTTGCTTATTTTCTTTAGTTGATTGTAGTCTCTTGCGGGTATTTGCTTTAAATTATAATAAAGTGACGAATTTCTGGGTGGCAAAATGTTATGTTGCTAGTGCATTCTAAATCAACAAGCACAATTTTTTTTGTTCGACTTAACACTAACCTTCGACATCATCGTTTGAAGTTGTGGGTAATCGGACCACCCATCATCCATCGAACTGCTCAGTATTGTGATATTTGCACGAGGTAATTAGCTCAACGGTGTCAGTTAGTGCCGAGTAGTAACTGCTTTTGATCATTAGAAGGGAAAATTTGTTAATATGCACAACAAGTCAATGTAATTAATTGCTTAGCTCAGAATAATGCGAAAGTAAGTTGACTCAGTGACCGCGGTTCCAATTATAGCATGCAAAATTTCAAAACTGACGGGCAGTCTGTATAACAAAAGTATTTATTTATTTATATCAAATGGCAGGCGTTTTGAGAGATATCATTAACCATTTAGCTGACTTCGGGGTTCACAGAGGGAAGGTTCATCAAAGTAGCAGAAAGTCGAGGGTGGGGAACAGAAGAGCGATTCATAGATGAAAAAGAGGCTGACAGACACAAAGGTAGAGAAAAAGGTAAGGTGAGTACTGTGGAAGGGATCGAATATGACAGCCAGGGGGGTCGTGGTAGTTTGAAGTCAGAAGTCAAATGCCGGTTAATAGACTTTTTGCCGTATGAGTATACGTTGCCCAGGGTGCACCACGTGGAGGTAAGTCTATCGCACACATCGTATAACAAAAGTGTAAGAAATAAATCAAATTCATAGGAACTAAGATTCAATTTCTCCTTCTTGTAAGGTAAAGAGAAAGAACAGTAAAGTCGAAGACAAAAGAATGATCCACTTCTTCACTTTAGATTTAAATAGGCAAGGCTACAAAACTGTTCTGAAATTAGATTGATTTCTCAACCAGTACTCAAATTTACATTAGTGAATCTCCATATTTTTATTTGAAAATAAGCGATCATGCTGTTCCTGAACTTAAATTTTTCTAAAAGAATGTAGAAAAGCACTATTTCTATTCTTTACATATTGGAATGTAATAGTTAAGTAATCGTAATTGATGGTGTTCTCGCTCTAACATATCTAAGCTAAAAGAAGGACATTATGAATCACAATTTCCTAATCCCGCCAAATTTGAAGACAACAGTATTTAAAAGCAATATCAAAATTTGCGATTCATTGATTACTGACAATGCGTGTATAGGTCGTATCTTGATGTCATCTTTTTTCGAATTTCGAATTTTTATCTTTCTTCGTTAATTTCTATTGAATGGAATAGAAAAGACAGTTCAAAAGGGGGTGTATTTTTACGTTCTAAAATTGGATTGCAAATCTATGAAGACTTTGAGTTAACGCATCAAGTACCATATTTGTCTCTCAACTTTTAGTTCTGTTGACACTGATCGCTCTTCGCCTGGAATTCTACTTCTCAAATAGCATGGAGCAGCGCATGAGTTGTCGAGACCCATCTCCATCGTTCTTCGAAAGTTTCGCTATTTTCTATGTAATAGGTGAGGAAATGTTTTCCCCAACTATTTTCTCTAATGTGAATCATGATCGTTGATGCGTATCGATCTCAAGTAGCCAATCGAACAATTTCATATATTATAGAGCCTATAACCAGTCCCAATGACTAATAATATATGAATAAAATATTTAAAATAGACATAAAAAACTTTTTTTGCTATTTATAATATTTGTTACTCATCTTCAATTGTAGGCTTCGTATGGCAGGAGATAATGAGTATTTGGATGCTGGGAGTGCGAGCTTATATGAGTGATATGTGGCATTTGCTGGATTTTACGCAAAATTCACTCTTCATTTGTACAATCGCTCTACGCATAGCTGCGTGGATCAGAGTGAGTTCCTTTCA